GAACGTGCACTATCGTCACGATGAACCGTAATGTGGGCGAGCTCCCCGAACGTCCACAGGGGATACCTATGGACGCGCGCTCCCCGAACGTTGACAACCCTGTTCTTGAATATCCTACGAACGTCTTCTCTAAAGCATGGCGTTTTGATCCGGCGTCGCCCTTTTGAACCGAACCGTTACCATACGACGACGGCGACGACGATGACGACGACGAGGACGATGATGAGGACAAATATGCCACAGGTCGGCTGGAGACAAACATGCCACAGGACGGACGGTGACGGGATGGCCGCCAAGGGGACAAATATACCACAGGTCGGCTGGAGACAAATATGCCTCAGGACGGACGGTGATCGGATGGCCGCCCGGGAGAAAAATATACCACAGGTAGGCTGGCTGGAGACAAATATACCACAGGACGGCTGGACACAAACGTACCTACCACAGATTGGCTGGAGACAAATATTCCACAGATCGGATGTCCCGATTTTGTTGGGATATCTGAAGCGAAACGCTCATTTTGGGAATCCGCCAGGTCCCCGACAACGAGGCGATAAGGCGCCTTCCCCCCCCCCCCCAGACCCGCCCCAGTTGATATATATATAATATATATATATATATATATATATATAGATATATATATATATATATATATATATATATATATATATTATATATATATATATATATTCATGTATATATATATATCCCTCTGGGCAACCAGACGTCCATCGCGCGACCCTTCGAGTCTTAGCGCGCTTCCCGTCATCCGCCAGGTCCCCGACAACGAAGCGATAACGCGCGATCCCCCCCAGACCCTTCCCAATTGATATATCCCTCTGGGCACCCAGACGTCCATCGAGCGAGTCTTCGAGTCTTAGCGCGCTTCCCGTCATTCGCTAGCCCTCAAACCCGTGCGCCGCGCCACCCTCTACTGGTAAGAGATTATGAGATATAATGCAGATTCAATCAGAGTGTCCACCTCGCGTCTCGTACCTCGAAGACGTTTCCCGTCATCCGCCAGCCCCCTTGCGGGGCCATCACGCTGCGGGGCCAGTTTCAGTTTCCAGTTTCCAATGTTACAATATTGCTTTCTGCATGCTACTGTAGATTGTTACTGTCCGCGCGAGGGGAGGGAGCCGAAAACCAGCTCGGTCAGCGTCCCCCGATCGCGTTGTCTGAATTTCTTGGGGGCACTGGGACATGTTAAAATAATTGAGGTTCGCGCTGCCGACGAAATGATCCCTTGGAAATTATGCTGTATTCGCGCCCCCGAGGCCGAGATCCCTTGTAAATTACACTGCGTTCGCGTCCGAAGCCACGATCCCCGGTAAAATATGCCATATTCACGCTCCTGAGGCCACGATCCCCAATACATTACGCCACGTTCTCGCCTCTGGGCCACGATCCCTTGTAAATTAAATCACCGTCGCGCCCCCGAGGCTACGATCCTCTTGTCAATTACGCCACATTCGACCCCCCCCAGGCCACGATCTCTGGTAAATTACCCCACGCTCGCACTCCCGAGGCCACGATCCTACGCAAATGAAGCCACATTCGCGCCGCCGAGGCCCCATCTTGAAGCCATCTTAGGCCGTATTGTGTGCATCTTGGGCCGGCTTGGAGGCATCTTGGGGCCATCTTAGCCGTCTTGGAGGCCATGTTGGGCGTCTGAGAGGCCTCTTGGGCCGTCTTGGGGCCCTCTTGGGGGCATCTTGGGGGCCTCTTGGGCCGTCATGGGGCCACCTTGGAGACCTCTTGGGCGATCTTGGGGCGATCTTGGGGGCCTCTTGGGCCGTCTTCAGCCGTCGGAATGTCGAGAATACGCACATGATAACCAATAATGCCAAAATCCTACAGCCTAAGAACAACCAATAATTGTTGCCTCTTCAGGCCCTCCTGGAGGACCTCTCGGAGACCTCTTGGGTCTTGTTGAGCCGTCTTGGAGGCTTCTTGGGCGAACTTGGAAATATCTTGGACTCTCTTGGGCCGTCTTGGAGGCCGTCTTGGACCATGTTGGGCGGACTTGGAGGCCATCTTGGGCCATCTTGGAGGCCATCTTGGGCCAACGCCCCCTGTTGATTCATCTCGGGGGTGCCTGACGTGCTGAACCCTTTCGCTTTTGGTTTTGGTTCTTTTCCCCAAAGAACTCCCCCTGGGGCTTCGGCCCGTCCCGCCGGCCACCCGAAAGGGACCCCAATGACCGGACAAATCCTCCAAGACGGCTCAAGATGGCCTCCAAGATGGCCACGTTGGCCTAAGATAGCCTCCCAAATGGCCTCCGAGTCCGCCCAAGATGGTCCAAGATGGCCTCCCAGACGGCCCGACAGAGCTCACGATGCCTCCAAGCTCGTCCAAGAAACCTTCAAGACGGCGCAAGATGGCTCCAAGATTGCCTAAGACTGCCCAAGAGGCCCCCAGGAGGCCTCCAAGACGTCCTCCAGGAAGGCCCCAAAGGGCCAACCTCATTGATTTTCCTTAGGTTGTCATAGGATTTTTGCGTTTTCTTCTTATCAGCTGTCCGACGGCCCAAGACGGACCAAGAGGCACCCAATATCGCCCCAAGAGCGCCCAAGAGGCCTCCAAGATGCCCCCATGACAAATCAAGAGGCCCCCAAGAGGGCCCCCAAAAGAGCCCAAGACGGCCCAAGATGTCCCCGAAGACGTCCAAGGTGGACTCCAAGACGGCCAAGACGGCCTCTAAGATGCCTCCAAGACGGCCAAGGCCTCCAAGACCGCGAAGATGGTCCCAAGATGCATCCACGACGGCCCCAGATGGCCTCAAGATGGTCTTAGACTGCCCAAAACGGCGTGGAAGACGCCTCCAAGACGGCCCAATAGCCCTCCAAGACGTCCTCCAGGAAGGCCCGAAAGAGTCAAAATGGCATCCAGACGGCCAAGATGACCTTCAAGATGCCCCAATCTCCTCCACGTGTTTCCCGAAAGCTTTCCGAACAATTTCGGGGAACACTCGTTCCGAAAGATTGGCAAGGATATGACCCAACCTTCGGCCAGAAGGCCCCAAGACGCCTCCAAAAGCTCACAAAAGCCCCCAAGGGGCTCTGAACACGCCCACTCCTCACTCTCCTCCTCTTCCCCGTCCTCCCCCACGTGTTCTCCGAAGGCTTTCCAAATCGATTCGGGGAACACATGGTCCGATAGCTTGGCAGGGCTCTGGCCTCAACGTTCGGCCACATAGGCGCTTCTGAAAGGGCAGAGGGCGGCGGTGACTCGCCGTAGGCGTCTTCGATAACGCCAACGTTTCAATATGCGCTGATGACTCCTATCCGCCCCCGCATGCTGCTCCCAAATGCGCCAAGGCAGCGCCGAGACGCACCGACGCGACTCTGTTACATCCAATTCAGACGGAGAGGGGGTCGGCGGCAGGAGGCGAAGCCCTTACGAATAAACTACTCAATGCGCGCGTCCCCGAATCCATACGCCCCCGTCAATTAGTCAACATTCGCGTCCTCGAGGTTTACGCTCTCGTACATTATGCAAGAATTGCGTCACCGAGGCCACGGTCACCCGTACATAAAATAATGCGCGCATTCCCGCAAGCCACGCCCTCGATCACCACCAACATGATCATAATCGTCACCAGTGCCCGCAACAGCATCACCAGCAATATCTCCACCACTATCACCATCGGCGTCAGCATCAGCATCATCAGCACCACCATCGCCGTCAGCATCAACATGTCTGCAAGACGGCGCCAAGACATCTGGATATAGCTTTAATATATCCCGTGATGGTAGGAGAGGAGGCCGGAGGCAGAGGGCGAAACCCTTCAGGATAATGAGAGGGACGGATGAGCACACGAGCTAAACCAAGATTAAAGTTTCCATCTATATATATGTATATATATATAGATATATGTGTGTATACACCAAATTATTTCCCCAATCAGAGCTTGCCTCTGTAGGGGTCCTAGCGGATTCATATGGTTAGGTTTGGTTTGCCGCCGATTTTCGCCGCACGCCCAGGTGCCTGGGTGCCCGGGTGCCTGGGCGTGCCCCGGGGTGCCCGGGGGTGCCCTATAGCCCTAAGCCCTATAGCCCTACAGCCCTAAAGCCCAATATCCCAATAGCCCTGTAGCCCTACAACTCTATAGCCCTATAGCTCTAGAGCCCTATGGCTCAATAGCCCTATAGCCCTATAGCCCCCTAGCCCTATAGCCCTGATTGGGTTTTCTCCGGTATCATGTAAGTGTACACGCGTGTGTATACATGTGTATATATACACATGTATATGTATACGCATGTGCACGCATATAGAGGGATATGTTTTCGAGCGAGGGTGAGATACCACTGCGCCCAGAAAGACAGCAAAAAACAAGGATAGTTATACCTGCTTGTTTCTACATAAAGTTATAGAGAGAGAAAGAGAGAGAGAGAGAGAGAGAGAACAAAAAAGAGAGAGAGAGAGAGAGAGACGAGAAAAAAAAGAGAGCGAGGACGAACGAGGGAGAAAGAGAGAGAGAGAGAGAGAGAGAGCGAGAGAGATGAGAGAAGGAGGTGAAATGGGTGACAATGGTGGGGGATGGTGAGCCCGAGGCGAGGTAGGGCAAGACGCATACAAACATAATGACAGACAGGAACGGAGAGAGGGAGGGAGCGAGACGAGCGGCTCGAGAAGGAGACCGCCACAGGGAAGGGAAACGAGTACGCCCCGCCCCCCTCGTCCTCCCCCTCCCCCCCAGCGGAGCGGCCGAGAGGCCGCTCGGCGCGTCGCCCCGGATCTGCTTGACCGCCGCCTCCAGGTCCGCGATCCGCCGCAGCATGTCCTGTGCGAGGGGCGGGGGCTGCCCCGCGCGCTGTCGCCGGCTGCAGGGGCGGAGGCGACGAGCCGTAGCTGTTGCGCCTCGCGGAGAGATGTCGAGCGAGCGGGTGGCAGTGTCGGCCTCGGGTCTGGACAGACTGCCTGCACCGCCCGCTCGTGCTCCTCATCGTCGTCCCGTTCCTCCTCCGTCCTCCTTCCTGCTCCTCCCAAAACCACGCCCATGGGATACAGCGGCGTGCCCATCACAGGGCGCCGAAAGATCGCTGCAATACGCCCACGATGGCCTCCAGACAGACCCAGAGTTCTCGAAGACGCCCGAAGAGGCCTCCAAGAGCACTCCCAAGAGAGCCCCAAGAGGCAAGAATCATTGCTTTCCCAAACAAGTTTTGAAAGATTTTGGCGGTCTCGCCTTCTCGGGTTCCCGATTTTCCAAGACGGCCTCAGAAGGCCCCAAATATCCACCCAAAGCAACCGAAGAGTCCCCCAAGAGAGCCCCAAAACGGAACACGAGGGCCCCAAGACAGTCCACGAGGCTTCCAAGACGGCCCACGAGGTCCCCAAGACTGCATGGGAGGGGCCAGACGGGGGACCCGAACGGACATTTCGAGCCATCGGCCCCGAGAGGCCCCCAGGAGGCCCCAAAAGGCCCCCAAGAAGCCCCCAAGAGGCCCAAAGAAGGTCCAAAAGGCCAACAGGAAAACCCAAGAGTTCCCCAAGAGCTCCAAACAGGCCTTCTCGGGGCCCCCAAGAGGCCGCAGAAGTGCCCCCCAGAGGCTCCAGAGAGCTCTCCAAAGACACCCGAAGAAACATCCCTGATGACTCTGACCCACGTCCCAGGCACGGTGGCGGGCTCGGCCGAAGGCCCCCCTTTCTCTCTCTCTCTCTCTATCGTCTCTCTGCCTTGGTGGTTCTATATATATATATATATATATATATATATATATTAATGCAGACATGCATCTTGATGTGTGTGCGTGCGCGCGCGCGTGTGTGTGTGAGTGTGTGATCCACGCGCGCTTCGCGCGCGCTTGGCTTCTAGCATGCTCCAAGTGTAGCCTAAACAGATTCGGCATCGGAGGACATACATTGTCACACGGGTCGTGCCCCCTCAGGGAGCTGCACCTGCGGCCATAGAGACAGGCTTGGCTTAGTGTCCCCCCGCCCATGTCGGCACACTCCTCACAAGGATCGCGCCCCGCGGGGAACTCCACCTGCGTCCCCAGCGACAAGGTTCGCGCACTGGCGCGCCCCTCAGGCGGTTCTTGCTCCGAAAATAACTGCATGTGTGGCACCAGGGGGGCCGTTTCATAGTGTCGCCCAGCTCGCTTCGGCACACCTTTCACACGGATCGTGGCCCGCAAAACGTTCCACGGACGGCCCCTAGGAAGCGTAGGACAAGGTTCGCATCCCGCCCCCCCGCCTACTTGGGCACACCTTCCACACGGATCGTGGCACACAGGGATCTCCACCCACGGCCCCAGAGGCAAGGTTCGCACTGCGCCCCCCCTGGCCATTGTGGTACACCCCATCACACGGATCGTGCCCACAAGGAACACCATCTGAAGACCCAGAGACAAATTTCGTACAAAGTCCCTCCGCCCGTGTCGGCACACCCGTCACGCGAACCACCCCCCAGAAGAAGCTTCACCTATGGCACCAGTGGGCAGCTTCGCATGGCGTCCCAGTGCCAATTTCGGAACATGCCTCGCACGGGTCGTGCCAAGAGGAATTCCACCTGTGGCCTCAGTGAACGGGTTCGCGCGGGAGCATCCGAATTATCCGGCACGCCCTTGACGCAGATCGTGCCCCAATGGGGATTCAGCGCAACCGTGCACACGTGCTCCGCAGTAGCCAGCGTTCCATGTTGCCCCGCGGAACGCAGTGCAAGACGAGAGACCCGCGCTCTGCGCTACACATGACTTCATGAGGGTCCGTCCATCGCCAAGCACATTGCTTGCTTAAGTGACGAAGCAATGTTGGTCTCCTGGGGCCCTCGCGGGGCCCATCTTGGGGCTTTCTTAGGACGTCTTCGGGGCCTCTTGAAACGCCTGACACGAGCGTGATTACGATTTGGCCCAAGTTTGCCATTGCGGCGCTCGTGGCCGAGATGCAATAATGGAATGTCGCAAGACGCAGGCGAAGCCAAGTCAACCATGTGCTTCTATTGTTCCGAGACGACTTTGGATCGTTTTTCGAACCTGCGTGTCGAGGACGTCCCGCGCGAAACGCTTATTTTCTATAGTTTCTATGGAGTCGAACCGAGTTCGATCCTGGTTCGAACGTGCTTGTCGAAGAAATTCCGCACGAAACGAACCGAATCCGAACCTGGACCGAACCTGTTCTTCAAGAACGTCCTGCACGACACGCTCACTTTTCTATTATTTCGGGCAGAGCTCGTACCTGTGTCGAACATGCTTTCCGGGGAGGTCCCGCACGAAACGCTCACTTTTGTATTGTTTCGAACCGATTTCTATTGTTTCGAACCGACTTTCGAAACTGGCTCGGACCATTTTTTGGAGGAGACTCCACGCGGTTCGCCGTTTTCGAAACGCCGCCCCGCTTTGCCTTATAAGAATCTAGTTGCGGTACAAACCCGAGGTTGCTCGCCCCCTGCTGGCACAGCTCTACTCCCGTCGCATTGTACCAGGCTCCGCGCGACTAATGGGACACCTCTGGTCATCGCTGCGCCAGCGCGTCAAACATTGGGCAATCTTTTTACCTAACAGCGATGACTGATAGGTTTCTAGCGGTCTCAAAAGAGAGCATCATGACTCCTCAAGAGGATCGGGGCGGGACCCGGGGCGGCTGCCGCCGAAGCTCAAATCGCCTGGGACATCCTCGCAAAATCGCTCTTGGCGCTGCTAGAACTCCATTCCCGGCGTACATTTTGGATGCCCGGAGCCAACTGTAGGCCACTTCGTGGTCTTCGAGTTCCCAGAACTCCATTCCCGGCGTACATTTTGGATGCCCGGAGCCAACTGTAGGCCACTTCGTGGTCTTCGAGTTCCCAGAACTCCATTCCCGGGCCACATTTTGGATGCCCGGAGCCAACTGTAGGCCACTTCGTGGTCTTCGAGTTCCCAGAACTCCATTCCCGGGCCACATTTTTGATGCCCGGAGCCAACTGTAGGCCACTTCGTGCTCTTCGACTTCCCAGAACTCCATTCCTGGGCATGATTTTGAATGCCCGGAGCAACTGTAGGCCACTTCGTGTTTTTCGAGTTCCCAGAATTCCATTCCCTGGCCGCATTTTGAATGCTGAGGCAGGCTGATGCTGAGGCTGAGGCAGGCTGAGGCAGGCTGAGGCTGAGGCCGAGGCTGAAGGCAGACTGAGGCTGAGGCTGAAGCAGGCTGAGGCTGAGGCTGAGGCAGGCTGAGGCTGAGGCTGAGGCAGGCTGATGCTGAGGCAGGCTGAGGCTGAGGCTGAGGCTGATGCAGGCTGAGGCTGAGGCAGGCTGAGGCTGAGGCCGAGGCTGAAGGCAGACTGAGGCTGAGGCTGAAGCAGGCTGAGGCTGAGGCTGAGGCAGGCTGAGGCTGAGGCTGAGGCAGGCTGATGCTGAGGCAGGCTGAGGCTGAGGCTGAGGATGCAGGCTGAGGCTGAGGCAGGCTGAGGCTGAGGCCGAGGCTGAAGGCAGACTGAGGCTGAGGCTGAAGCAGGCTGAGGCTGAGGCTGAGGCAGGCTGAGGCTGAGGCTGAGGCAGGCTGATGCTGAGGCAGGCTGAGGCTGAGGCTGAGGCTGATGCAGGCTGAGGCTGAGGCAGGCTGAGGCTGAGGCCGAGGCTGAAGGCAGATTGAGGCTGAGGCTGAAGCAGGCTGAGGCTGAGGCTGAGGCAGGCTGAGGCTGAGGCTGAGGCAGGCTGATGCTGAGGCTGAGGCTGAGGCTGAGGCTGAGGCTGAGGCTGCAGGCTGAGGCTGAGGCTGAGGCAGGCTGAGGCTGAGGCCGAGGCTGAAGGCAGATTGAGGCTGAGGCTGAAGCAGGCTGAGGCTGAGGCTGAGGCAGGCTGAGGCTGAGGCTGAGGCAGGCTGAGGCTGAGGCTGAGGCTGCAGGCTGAGGCTGAGGCCGAGGCTGAAGGCGCTGAGGCTGAGCAGGCTGAGGCTGAGGCTGAGGCAGGCTGAGGCTGAGGCTGAGGCAGGCTGAGGCTGAGGCTGATGAGGCTGAGGCTGAGAGAGGCTGAGGCCGAGGCTGAAGGCAGACTGAGGCTGAGGCTGAAGCAGGCTGAGGCTGAGGCTGAGGCTGAGGCTGAGGCTGAGGCAGGCTGATGCTGAGGCAGGCTGAGGCTGAGGCTGAGGCTGAGGCAGGCTCAGGCTGAGGCAGGCTGAGGCTGAGGCCGAGGCTGCAGGCAGACTGAGGCTGATGCAGGAGCAGGCTGAGGCTGAGGCTGAGGCAGGCTGAAGCTGAGGCTGAGGCTGATGCTGAGGCAGGCTGAGGCTGAGGCTGAGGCTAATGCAGGCCACTGCGACTGTCATCGCGAATGCGACTACGACTGCGAGAACAGCAGAACTCTACAACTGGATTCTCATCTGAATCTTAAGGGGGATGCTTCCAGATATGCTCCTACACATCGCTGTTAGGTTGCTTTGCCGGAATAATTTACTGCGGCACAGTATTCGAGCGTCTTCGGCCTTGTCAGGCCACTCTGGTCGCTTCTTGGCAGCCTCCTAAGCTGTTTAAGCGGCGGGGGTGGCCTGGGAGGCTCCTGAGAGGGGACAGACATGTCGTGGGCCGGGAAATCCGGGAGGGTGTCTGGGCCCTGTTTTGCTCCTCCTTCTCCTCCTCCTTTTCCTTCTCCCCCTTTTCCGTTTCGTCGTCGTCCTCGTTCTTCCTCATCCTCCTCCTCCTCCTCCTCCTCCACCTTCTCCTCCTCCTCCGCCTCCTCCTCCTCCTTCTCCTCCTCCTCCTCCTCCTCGTCCTCCTCCTCCTCAACCTACTCTTCTTTCTCCTTCTCCTCCTCCTCTTCCTCCTCCTCCTCCTCCTTCGCCTTCTTTCCCCCCCTATACGACATGGTGGGACCTCCGCGGGCCTCTTGGGGACCTCGCAGAGGAGAACGGCAGTTGCAACCAACACCCTCGATACCGAGTCTGCTCTGAGCGGGGCCGCGGGTCCGACCCCAGTTCCGCTGTGAACGGGTCCCCGGGCAACGCTACGCTGAATTGGAGTGTCCGGTGGGATGGCACGGGCCCTCCTCCTCCTTGTCGGTCTCGTCGTCGGACTTGCGGCGACATTCATTTTTCTGGAAGGCTCTCCGGGAATATGATGATGGTGTGGGGTCGTATTGGAGTCCTCGTGGAGGTTGCCAGGGTACCTCAAGTGAGGCTTCAAAGCCTGAAGGACAGCCAGATTGAACCATTCGGAAGTGTTGTCATGGTGGCGCGGCTTCGAAGTAACGATAACGAAACGAGAACGGTAGGAGATGGGCAGGCCACGGCAAGGAATTGTTCAAGGAGCGGAGTGGGGGTGCGAAAGGAACTGGGATGGCCTTCGACCCATAACTGAAACGTGCCTCGGTGGGATGTCGAGGCAGGCCTCGCGGGGGCCTCTTGGGGCCGTTGCTTGGCCTCTTTGGGTCCGTATTGAAACCTCCTGGGGCGTCGTGGGGGCCTCTTGGGGTTCTTTTGGAACCTCGAAGCAGCCTCTGGGCCTTCTGGGTGCCTCCTGGGAGAATGGATGTTTTCTTTGAAGCAAAGCAAGGACGAAGAGGAGACCGCTCGGCCGAACCTTGGCGCACAGAGGACTGAACGTTCCAGGGAACAGCTCGGTCTACGCTCGCCCCGCCGCTCAACTTGATATGTGGAACAACAATCATTGCTGCGACCAGCTCGACATGGCTCAGCAAAAAACAGCAACAACCCCGACGGTCGCAAACGGCAGCAACACATGCATATTCGCCCACGTCGCAGCAAACACTGCGTATCACTGAGTGTTCAAGTCGTCACGTACAGCTTGGTCGTCGAAGTAATCAGTGCTGTAGCGTAGACCTTCTCTCAAAGACTTCGGAACTCCACTCCGGCCTCGGGCATGCAGCCGTTCACGCCAAGTCCAGATACAACATGTGGAAATGTCCCGAACGGTATATCGGGCCTGGGAAGGACATATCATCTAGAAGAAATATAAAACGACTCGGCATTCGCGGCGTTGAAAAACTCTCCCTGGGTCCCGCACTCGCCCGCACCATCATCCTCTCCCCCATCTTTCTTTCCATTCTAAACGTCAGGAGAGGTGTTGTCCAGACTTCCAAAAAGTGGCACGTGCTGCCACACTCGCGGGCGGAGCACGCGTTGATAAAAACAGCTGGCCCGCATGTCAGCTTGAAAAGCGCGGGTAACAAAAAATACAAAATGTACCAAACTCGCTCTACGAACGCACGCCATTACGGGTGCATCGACCTCGCTGCGCAAAACGCCCCGATCCCGGAAGCATGCCCTCTGCGGGGATGGGATGCGCGAGACACAGCAGCCAAAACGAAGCCGAGGAAGAAGGAGGGAGACGAGGAGGGGAGGCCCGGGGCGTGGAGAGGGGAGGCGGGGGAGACGAGGAGGGGAACCGAAACCGTCGGGAGGCCCAGGGCCTGGCGAGGGGAGGCGGGGGCACCGACGGAAGGCCGCCCCGAGCGGCGGGCACCCTCACAGCGAGACCTTCGTCGACGCGGTGCCGACGCCGGGGCCCGACCCCTTCGGAGCGCCGCCCCCCGCGGGCCCGCTCTGGCGGCCCGCCTTGCCGACCAGGCGGTCCTGCTGCGCCCCTGGCAGGCCCTCGGCGCAGGGCCGAGCGGACTCGGCGCCGCCGCCGTCGCGCCTCCGGCGCGTCAGGCAGCTCGGGGGAGGCGCGCCGCGCGGCGAGGAGGCCGAGGCTCCCGCCTCCTGCGAGGGGTTGGAGGCCGTGCACGGGTCGTTTATCTGCCTGCGCTGCTGGCGGCGGCGCTGTGCCCTTGTCCTCCGACGGAAGGCGCCCTCTCCCGCCGCTGCGCTGCTGGCGCCGCCCTCCGAGGCCATGTCCGTGTGCTCGCTGGAGGCGGTGGAGGTGGCGGGGTCGGAGCTGGGCCTCCGTGGCAGGACGACGGGATCCAGCCACGGCGACCTGCAGTCCAGGAAGGTGTTCTTGGTGACCAGGACTGAGTAGACGGGCACGGCCATGGTCTGCACAGAGAGGCTGGAGTCGGGTCGCACCCCAGGCGAATCAGGCTGCGAACCTCGGCTTGACTTCCGAAGTGAGCCCAAGTTGCCAGGCTACGCAGGAGCCTCCTGGGAGAATCTTGGGGCGAAGAACTCGACATTCTGGTTCATGCTCCCCCTCTTGAGCCCATCTTGGGGCCGTCGTTAGGGCCTCTTGGGCCGTTTTGGGCGCCCCTGGGGCCGTTGTGAAGTCCTGCTTGGCCGTCCAGGGGCCCTCCTGGAGGCCTCTGGGTCCGTCCCGAGTCGGTGTTGGAGGCCTCATGGGCAGTCTTGGAGCATCGGAACTCGGTAAGTGGAGGACCCCAACCCAAGAAGGAAATCTCAGATTTCTGCATCTCGAGGCACTCGTCTGGGACCTCTGGCGCCCACTGAAGCCGGCCCGGGCCGTCCTGGCGCCTTCTTGTGGCCTCCTGGGAGCCTCTTAGGGCGAAGGGCCAGAAATTTCGGTTCATGCTCCCCATCTTGAACCCATCTTGGGGCCGTTGTTAGGGCCTCTTGGGCTATCTTGGGCGCCCCTGGGGCCGTTGTGAAGCCCTGCTTGGCCGTCCTGGAGCCCTCCTCGGGTCCGCTTGGCCCGCCCAGAGGCGGTATTGGATGCCCGTTGGTCGTCGTGGATTGTCTGGATCACGAAAAGTAGAGGGCCCCGAAAACATTGAAACAGCCTAGGCGAATCACAGATTGTTGACTCTCGGGGCACTCGTCTGGTGCCTTGAGCGCGCACTGCAGCCTGCCCGTGGCCGTCCTGGCGCAGCCTGGAAACCTTCGGAGGCCGTTCAGAAGGCATCTTCGGCGCTCTCGGGGTGTGATAGACCCTGTCTGGTAGACTGTCGTACCAATGTGCGGGCCATCTGTGCGCCCACGATGCCAAGTCGGGAGCCACAAGAGCGCCCCTGTACCCGTGGCCATGTATAAATGTATATGTATGTTTGTCTGTCGTTATGTCTATCTATCTGTCTTTCTGTCAGTCTGTCTGCATGTATGTATGTATGGATGCATGTGCATGCGTATATGTGTGTATGTATGCATGTATGTATGCGTGTATGCATGCAAGCATGCATGTGTGTATGTATGACTGCGTGCATGTATGTGTGCGCGCATGCATCTCTCTATATATATATATATGTATATGTACGACTGCGCGCATACATTCACCAATGTTTGATTGCGTTCATGCATATACGAATGTATGGATGCGAGTGTATGTATGTATGTAGGTATGCTTTATGCTTGTGTAGTTATGAATATGTGTCCGCTCATGGGTGCATGCATCTATGTACGCATGTATGCGTATGTATGGTTGTGCGTATAGGTATGCATGCATGTTAGGATGTATGCATGTATGTAAGTGTGTGAGCGCAAGTGTGTCTGTTTGAACGCGTGTATGTATGAATGTGTGTATGTATGTCTGCTTGTATGTATTTGTGTATGTCTGAATGTACGTATGTATGTAGGTATGTGTGGTTGTTTGCATGCGTGCTGTATGTATGAATGTGTATGTAGCGATGTGTGTATGTATGCGTATGCAGGTTTATCTTATGTATGTGTCTGCACGTGCATGTATATATGTCTGGGCGCATGTATACGTAGGTGTATGTGTGTATGTATGCTTGTGTGTATGTATGTGTATGTGTAGGTATGTGTGTATGTGTACATGTATTTATGCGTGTGTACGAACGTATGTGTGTATGCATGTCTGTATGTGTGTATGCATGTATATAATTAATTACACGTGGCTGTAATGAAAACGGAAAGTTTGCAGAGTAGAATAGACATACACATCCATCTACACACTCGGGGATTTTGGATCTGGGGTGCTGTCTCAAGTAAAGAAAATGCGCCACTAAACGGCCAAGTGGGCGGACGACGACCCAAGCGAACCCCGAACCGGCGTAAGAGGACCCCAAGACGGCCCAAGGGGGCACCAAGGGACCCCACATGTTCCCCACAGGAGGCCAAGACAGCCTCAAGGCGACCCAAACGAGTTGCATCATCATCATCATCGCCAGCAGAAGCAGCATAATCAACATCATCATCAGCATCATAATCATTATCAACATCGTAATAACCATCATCATCATCATCATCATCATCATCATCATCAAGATCAACACCACCATCATCATCATCATTATCATAACCGTCATCGTCATGACAACATAATCGACGTCATCATCATCATCATCACAATGATCAGCAGCACCAACCTGAACATCATCACCATCACCACCATCAGCATCGTAATTATCGTCAACACCATCAACAGCAACATCATCATCAGCATCAGCAGCATTAAGAGCATCATCTGCATCAGCATCAGCATCACCTTCATAATCATCATCAACATCCTCAGCATCAGAAACATCAATCTTAACATCATCATAAATCACCATCTTCATTACCACAACCACCACCATAACTATCATCACACCGGTCACCATCATCATCGTCATCATCAGCACCATCATCCTCATAATCCCATCATCATCATCATCATCATCATCATCATCATCATCATCATCATCATCATCATCATCATCATCGTCATCATCATCATCATCATCATCAGCATCACAACGCTCCCAAACCTGGGAGAACGAGGAATAACACCTGACGGCCGCCCGTGCCCCCTCGAAGAGTTGCAACCCAGAGTCCTGGGCTGCCACGGTGGCGGGATTTGCCGCAGGCAGCTGGATCCGCCGCCCTTTGTCGCTTCAGCAAAGGGGTGCCCGGCGTGCTAAACCCTATCGGTTTTGGTTTTGGTTCTTTTTCCAGAGGAACTCTCCCAGTGGGCTCCGGCGCGTCCCGCCGGGGCCGCGGAAGGCCCGGAAACGAGCTCAACGACCGCAAAAAATCCTCCAAGATGGCTCGAGATGGCCTCCCAGACGGCCAAGATGGCCTCCAAGACGGCTCAGATGTCCCCAAGATGCCGCCAAGACGGCCCAAAATGCACCCAAGACGGCCGTAGATGGTGTCAAGATGGCCCGCGACTGCCCAAGAGTCCCCCCAGAGGCCCCGAAGACGGCCCAAGAGGCCTCCAAGAGCTCCTCCAGGAAGGCTCGCCGAGGCCAGAATCATTGATTTGCCTTAGGTTTTTTCCAGAGATTTTCGTATTTACGCCTTTTCTGCCTTCCGACGGCCCCAGGTGGCCCAAGAAGTCCCCAAGATAGTCCCAAGATCGCCCAAGAGGCCTCCAAGATGACCCCGTGACGGCCCAAGAGGCGCCCAAGACGGCCCCAAGACGGCCCAAGAGGCCTCCAAGACGCCGAAGATGGTCTCCAAGATGGCCTCCAAGACGGCTCAGATGGCCCCAAAATGCCGCCAAGACGCCGAAGATGCACCCAAGACGGCCTAAGATGGCGTCAAGATGGCCGAAGACGGCCCAAGAGGCCCTCCAGAGGCCCCCAAGACGGCCCAAGAGGCCTCCAAGAGCTCCTCCAGGAGGGCCCGAAGAGGCCAAAATCCGCCGCCCCCTGTTGATTCATCACAGGGGTGCCTGGCGTGTTGAACCCTCTCGGTTTTGGTATTGGTTCTTTTTCCAAAAGAACTCATCAGTGGGCTCCGGCCCGTCCCGCAGGCCACCCGGAAACTGCATCAGTCAATGCCCGAAACGGCAGTTTCGCTCGGGACATCCTCAACAAATCGCGAAGATGGCCCAAGATGGCCTGCAAGATGCCTCCAAGACAGCCAAGATGGCCTCCAAGACGGCTAAGATGGCCCCAAGATGCGTCCAAGACGGCCCAAGATGGCCTCAATATGGTCTAAGACTGCCCAAAAGGCCCGCAAGAGGCCTCCAAGACGGCCCAAGAGGCCTCCAAGAGGTCCTCCAGGAAGGCCCGACGAGGCCCAAATCCTTGTCCCTTAGGTTTTTGAAGGATTTTGGCATTTGCGCCTTTTCGGCTTTCCCACGGCCTGTGACGGCCCCAGAGGCCCCCAAGGTCGCCCAAGGATCGCCCAAGAGGCCCCCAAGACGGCCCCATGACGGCCCAAGAGGCCCCCGAGACGGCCCCAAGAGGGCGCCAAGGCGGCCCAAGAGGCCTCGAAGACGCCCAAGATGGCCTCTAAGACGGCCCTGGAGCACCCGAAGAGGGCCCCAAGTCGGCCCAGAAAGGCCCCCGAAACAGCTTCCGACGGCGACAGACGGGCCAGGAGCTCACCAAGATGGCCGAAAGTGGCTCGCAGCTTGCCCAAGACGGCCCAAGAGGCCTCCAAGAGGGCCTCCAGGAAGGCCAGAAAAGGTCAAAAAGAGTGATGTTCCTAAGGTTGTTGAAGCATTTTGACATTTGCTTCGTTTCGGCCTTCCGACGGCCCGATACGGCCCAAGAGCTCTCAAAGATCGCCCAAGGATCGCCCAAGAGGCCTCCAAGATGGCCCCAGAACGGCCCAAGAGGCCCCCAAGACGGCCAAGACGGCCCCAAGAGGCCCCCAAGACGGCCCAAGAGGCCTCCAAGACGCTCAAGATGGCCTCCAAGACGGCCCACGAGCTTTCCAAGACGTCCTCCAAGAAGGCCCGAAAGGGTCAAAATGGCCTCCAGGCGGCCAAGATGACCTTCTAGATGCCCACGTGTTCCCCGAAGGCTTTCCAAACCGATTCGGGGAACACATGGTCCGATAGCTGTGCAGGTCTGGCCTCAACGTTCGGCCACATAGGCGCTTCCACAAAGGCAGGGGGCGGCGGTGATTCGGCGTAGGCGTCTTCGATCAAACTGTTATCCTCGAGACTGTCGCACGGACGTGATGGGATCCAATTCGGTCCACTGGTGTTTACAACAAGAGATCAACGTTTGGCCTGAACATGTACATATTACCGCTGACACCAGGATCAGGAGTCATCGTCCCTCCGTGGAGGTGGGCCCGATCTTGGTGATGGTGTCAACTTGTACACCCGCACTGTTCGCACAGGATCTGGCGGCACTCGTGATCGCATTACTGTTGAACCGCGCGCAGGCGCCTGTAGTTAGCAGCCTATCGGTGCGCGTGCGCGCGTCACGAGGGGTTTGCCCAACGGATCGCCCTCTGCGGCCCATGCAACATGTAGGCGCCAGTCTCAATCGTACGCGCGTAATCTGCAACTGCGACGGCCCGTCGCTTAACGT